CATCTGTAAATAGTAGAACCATTTACAGCACATAACAGTTGTAAATAACTATTTTTAATCGTAATTTATTTTTCTAATTATTATATTTTCTACAATAATCATATTACTATTTTGATTATATTTTATTATTTATAAATAAGATACTCTACCATAATTATTTTGTTAGACTATTCATATGATCATAATTCGAACATTGGGTACTAATTTTATTATAGAAACTTGAGATCCTTAATTTTGGCTATTAAAAAATTTTCTTAAAATCTTGCTTTCAATATAGAAATAGATTAGTAAATACCGGAGTTCTTTCATAGACATGACTTTTTCTAAGTCTCAAAAATGGTTGAGCTTTCACATTTGAGTTTCTGAGCAGATTGTTGATCTGGCAAGAGGCCACTTAAAAAACCATTTCATGAAAATTTTTGCTCCCACCAGAGAGGCGGAAGTTTTGGTTAGTAATATCATTGTAGTAACTCAATCGCATCTGGGAAGGATGTATTATTATTGAATTTCATATAAGAGTTGAAGTCATATTTTACCAATAAATTGACTTGAGACTAGTAGTTTGAGTATGAAAATTGCTAGTTGTGGTTCTTAGTCAGGAGACTTCCAAATGGTATCAAGTCACCCCTAAATTATTGCCACAGTGGAGGTACTAGTTCTGTTTAAATTGGATTTGATATCATGTTTATCTTTATTGTTTGGGATCGCGAGAATTCAAAGGAGAGCTTATAATACTCTGCATCTCATATCTATAGTGTTCCAATTATGTTTTGTATGAATGCTAATTCTTACTCTTAGAACATCCAACTGACTTAAAATCTTAATGATTGGGAGGTACAAAATGACTTCCATTTCAACATTCTTAGCTTTCTGCCATTTCGATACTAAGGTTTGTGAAAGTCCAGAGTGGTCTTTCATGAAAAAAAAATGGTTCATTTTCTGTCAGGTCCTTTTGCCATAATCTATCTCCTCCTTTGGTGTGCTGAAGCTAGATGGTTATGATTCGACTCTCTCCCTCTTTAATATGTCTTGGGCGGCTAATGGTTTGATAACCTGGGTGGCATAAAGCTAGAAAACTAGGAGGAAACTTACACCCTTCATTTCAGTGTTTGGGTGATTTGGAAAGAAAGCAACGAGAGAGTTTAAGGCATCATATGTCCTTTTGATAGTATTATATAATTGCTACCAAGATACTACACATATGGGTGGTGCTTATTCTCCTCTTGGTAGGGCGGATATAACACAATCAACCTTAGAGACGATAGTGTGTCTATTCATTAAAATAAGAATTGAGTAGGGAATAGTGAGGAGCCTTACCCCTCCTTTGTTCTATTCAATGTACTGAATGCAGCCTAAAGTATAGACTAATTTATAAGGTTCTGAAAATTTCGTATACAGGTCTTTGCTTATAGTTTCACATTTATGTAAAAGCCTTTTGTCATTTTTGCTTGAGATACAGAATATGCATGTGGGACAAATTTGTTATGGCTGGAAAATTGAAACAGATCTGCAAATTGGCATAATTACAAAAGGCTGATTGTTGTTTCAAAAATTCTTTTAGGGATCAGATATGCTTATAATGCATAATACATTGTGATGTATCTTGTATGCAGTTCTTTGACAATAAATTTCAATTTTATTTCTTGATTATGCAGATTATTAATGTCTACAATCAACAGTATGAGAGTGGTGCTGCCTTCTGGCCACACGTTCACAGCCGCATAATTGCAGGCTTACTGATATCTCAGCTTTTGTTGCTGGGTCTTCTCAGTACAAAAAGAGCTGCCAAGTCCACACCTTTGCTTGTTATCTTACCCATTTTAACATTATGGTTCCATAAGTATTGCAAAGACCGCTTTGAGCCTGCATTTAGAAAGTATCCACTTGAGGTAAGCACTAGCTTTTCAAATTAGCTAACTTTTTATCAGAAAGATATCTGGAAGACATAAAAATTTTATTTTTAGAATTTCTTCAAAAGAGTGAATTTATTAAGAATGATGTTGCAGACAGCATTTTGTTACTACTTAAAAGGAGTTTTAAGGGTATATTTAGGTATTGGGTTTGACGGTATGTTTATATCTGAGTCTCCCAAAAGCCTGAAAACAGTTTCCTTTTGATTTCTGTCTGAAGTACATGTAGGGGAAGCACCTTTTTCTTTTTCTTTTTCAGATATGAATTCCAATCTGATCAGTTAGGTTTATTGAGCAAGTCAAGCCAAATTGCAGATAGTGTCTTTTCTTTCATATCCAATTCCTTAAATTTAGGCACTATATGGCTTTTTCCCATTATGTTTAACCTCATAGATTCTATCTGAAGAATGTTTTGTTCAAGTTGTTGTTGATTCGGTTTCAAATGCATCTTTAGTTGAAAGTTTTTTCTTGAAGCTTTTCTCATTCAGTTTTATTCTTTTATGTAACATTTTGGGCCAACTTCTTGGGGGAAAACAGGTGTCAAGCAAACTTATTTTTATTTGGATTTCATATGACATTGACATATAAGGGGTTGCTTCCTTTGTTCATGTCCTGATGAGGTTATATTTCCTCCTGTTACATTCTCAGGAAGCAATGGCAAAAGACATGTTGGAGCGTTCTACTGAACCTGACCTGAACTTGAAGGCTTATTTGGCAGATGCTTACTTGCACCCTATTTTCCAAACATTCGAGGAAGAAGAGGAAATGGTGGAGGTTAGGGTAGATAAACTCCAGACTCATTGCAGCAGTCCTGCTGCCAGTGAACTAAGTTCCCCCTCCCCACCCCATCACACTTACCATCAAAGCTCAAGTCCTGATGATCATGTCTATCAACCTTCCTCGCCTCCTCGCTATGTCCATCATCCTTCTGTGCACCCTCATCATATTGATCCCTCGAGTTACGTCTATAGCCATTCCTCTCAATCTCATTATGCCTATCACTATGAAGAGCATTGATTTGAGCTTATGCTTATTACATGAACTAATCTTTCAGTAGGTTATAACCATTGATTTTTCTTTTAGCAAAGCCTGTTTGTGTCTGAGTTGGCTTCTCTTGGTGTAATTAGATTAATTTTACTACAAATGTGGCTTATGATGTTCTGTCCAAATTACACACTGAAGCTTCTACTGTGTCATTACTGTTGAAAAGCTTTCACATCAGCTAATTAAATCACTTGATTTTCCAGAATTCCTTCATAGTTTCCTTCACTTCGCACTTAAAATTATGGTTGTGGCGTCTTTTTCTGCATTTATCTTTAATTTCCTAATGATATATTGTACTGTTCGTCAATTTATTTTTTGAATGTTAAATTTAGCTTTGATGTTAAAATGTTACCACAATGTCTTTCAGGATTTATTTAAATCAGAGAACTACATAAATCAATATTGTATTAAATATATGAATTAATAAATTAATTATTTAATGATTATGATAAAATTACTGAATTAATTAATCAATATTTAAGAATTTTCCTCTAAACTTATTATATACTTCTACTTAGTATAAAAAATATCCTAATATCTTTACTAATTTATGTAATTATAAGAATATGTGAATAAATATTAAGTTAATTATATATTTTTATTAAATTAATTAATTAATAAGTAACAAAATTTTCCCTAGATTACTATTAGGCCTATCCACATATTAATAAAATTACTACAATATCTGTGATAACTTAAGTTATAAGACTATATAAAAAAATATAGGATTGAGTATATAGGAATTGTTAAATCAATTCATTAATAACTACTTTGTGACAACGTGTCCCCCACTACTAGGTTACCGGTGTCAAACTACTAATTAACTTAAAAAATTAGTCACTAAACAACACATATTACAGTAAGGATCAAAATCTTCTATCTTCGTGACATATTGTAATACTATTTACAATAATTAAAGATAGAGTCAAAATAAAATATGACAATACTCATTAAGTACAGGATACTTAATTCTGACTGGAGCACTACTTATTGTCCCTTACTGATCCGGTTTTGTCTCCGAATTCTCTTAATGTAAAAAATTGCCACAATGAATTTGGATGAGATTCAACATGCTCAGTAAATATAAGAAGTAATCTGCACCCTAGACATGTGAACACACAATTCATATACTCACTCAGAGATACAAATTTTAAAATCTTTCTTAGAAAACAATAAAACTAGATGATAAAATTTTAGGTTAATTTCTCCTTCTTTCTATTCCAACTTTCCAAATCATACTACTTGAATTTGCATTTACTTGTAACACCTAGGCCCAAGTCAGAAGATAGTACCCAGGCCAAAATTGGGCATCATAAGGGAAAAAAAAAGAGGCAACCAGATGCATGCACGCCTCTAGAAGCCGAAGAGGATGAAGAAGAAGAAGCCTCAACCTGCATGCCAAAGAAGAAGCGTGTAGGGTTTTATGTTCTCCCGCCTATTAAATAAAAAAAGAAGGAATAGAGAGAGAGAAGAAATTGGTCGCATGTGAAGCTGAACGATATGAGGAATGTCGCGACGATAAAATTGAGGTAGATCCGTCCTCTGATGCGACTAGATTCACATGGAAGAGAGAAAGAGATTGGTAGTCGATTTGCGTGTGGGTTTTCTAAATCCACGTGAGTAGCAGGCCATGTGACTATCGAAGAAGGAGGACATACGGTAAAATCGGTGCTGGTGTGTGAAATCAAATGACCGAAGAAGAGGAAAGCGTGCGGTGGCCCGACTTGGGTGTCGACGTGTCAAGCCAGTCGAGGAGAGAGAAGGAGCAACGTGTGCTAGGTTTTTTGGAGCAGATCCATTCCGGATTTGAACCGCTAGAAAATTCTGTGATGATTTTTGGTCAAAGCTGGATCCGATGGCTGCGGGTGAGGTGGCACATGGTGCTCCAGTGGCTGTGCATGGTGATTCCCGAAACACACGTGTGGTGGCTTGGTGACTCTAGAGACCAGGATCGCGTGTCCAATGTAAAATTAATTTTCATACCTGTTATGTCGTTTTCG